GTAATCAATGTACAGATCCTTCTCTCCATTGTCTAGACAATTTTTGAGTTCTGTGCGTAATATATGGGAGCAGGAACATTGCTGTAAGGTTAGGTCAGGACGAGATTGGAGGTTTTCATGGTTGGTGTTGTTTTTGGCGAGTGAATTTATAGTATAAATGAATTTACATTTGCTTAATTCATTTTTCAAATGACTCTGCAGAAGCGTGGGGCCACAGAGCCGTCTCTGTTTTTGAGCTCTCGGCCAATGCAAGAAATGTCAAGTGTTGTACCTTATGTTTCTTGACTCTTGATGAATGTATCTTTTCTTTTATGTATACTGAGAGCATTTGCACCAAGGCAAATTCCTTGTGTGTCCAATCACACTTGGCCAATAAAGAATTCTATTCTGTTCTGTTCTGTTCTGTTCTGTTGTTCTGTTCTACTCTACTCTACTCTACTCTACTCTACTCTACTCTACTCTACTCTACTCTACTCTACTCTACTCTACTCTACTCTATTCTATTGCTGCGTAAAATATATGAAAACTGTATTCCAACAGTTGCCACTTGTTTTCTTGGGAAATTCAGGGTGTTAGTTTTTATCTGCAAGAGCCCTACATGGTCACAATATATATTTTAAAATATATAACTATATTTTATATATAAAATATATAACTATATTTTACCACCAATGTTAAAGTTGTACAATTGTGCAACAAAAGAAAATTAACTTTCAAAAAAGTGCAATTGCTATCCAATATTACAAATGGAAGATGTTAATGAAAGATTGACTTCCCAGGCATTCATCCTTTGAGGATCACGCACAATTCTCTTAACACAAACAATATCATCTGTGATGTCATCATTTGCGAAAGCTGCCAGGAGAGGCAAATTAGAATATGTCCCACCCCAGATGTTTCAAAGTTATTTCCAAATATTTGCATAAAATTAATATATAAAGCAGAAAAAAAAATTAGAGACTGTTGATGTTTGTGGAATAGGGGACCTCACCAATTATGGACCTGATGCTTGTTAGAAATCAGACAACACTGGATTGGGTGGCTTGGAGGCACAGATATGTCTTTGTGGGGGAAGGTAGACAACTTGTAAGAAGCTTAGAAATGGGATACTAAGTAGAGGAGCAGACTGAAGAAGGATAACAGGTCAACAAAAAGCAATGTGGCTAGGTATTATCACAATGACCCAACTAGGAACTTGAACAAAATTTGACAGACAGGATGATTAAACATGAATCTTCATGAAGTGATGGGTGCATTGGATAATTAAAAAGTGTCAAAACTGCTTTCATGAAAAGCCATAGAGACTCCTGGAAGAAAGTGTAGGAAGTTACCACCCACCCCTCTCCTAGAAAATTGAAATAGCCTAGGAAATATTAAAAAGGCAGAATATTTCCCCTAAAAAGAGAAGTAGAAACTCAGAGAGGCAGAAACTTTGTCTATGGGCCCTTAAGGTCTGAGCCAGTCTATTCTACAAAACAAAAGTAGGATTAGCCTTCTACCCATCTCACCACATGGCACCTGGGAAGATTACATCAGCCAGCACTCAAACAAGCTTGGGACACAGACAAAGCCTACAAAGTTAGCTAAGACCCCTGCCCCCTGGGAGTCTGACAACCAATGGGATACATTTCTTACAGAGGAACAGGAAATACTAAGGTGGGGCCCAACAAAGGTTATAAAACCCAGGCATTCTCAGCAACTCAGCCTTTCTTGACCGTCTCTTCTCACCTTTTTTGATCTCCTTCCTTTTCACTCTGGAGCTCCAGGCCATGTGGTCCTGTCCACCATTAAACCTTCCAAACAGCCTCCATGTTTCCAGTGTCTTTTTTCCCACTTGGAACTGAACCCAGAAGGATATTTCTTTCAACAAACAAAATGGGAAAAGGGTCACAAAAGGCCAGGGGTGGGATTCAACTGGTATTACTACCAGTTCGATGACTACGCTATGCACAAAAAACCCCAAGAAAATACCAACCGAAGTACACAAAGCTTCAAGGAGGACTCGGAACCGATCAAACTACTTTGCTTCCTGCAAAGGTTTCATCATCTAGGTCTGACTTTTATCCCTTATGGGAGGGGCAATCACCTCCGAGCCTTACTCCCGAGTCACCCCCTTTGTTTCAGCTGCTCTCGCTGTTCTATCGCCAGAACAAGATAGACTCGAGACCGGAGTTGAGTTCAGCTCTTTATTTAACTGTCAGTAACTTCAACTAAACTCGAGCCGCGGCAGCCTCTTTTATAGCGGCTGCTCGCGGCTCGCAACCAATGGCATTATTTTAAACCTCCCGCCGTTTGGGCGGCCAATCATAATCTGTTGTTAACCACCAATCGCTAGGCGGTAGTTATTGTCCAATCGGAACGTAGTATTACGAGTATGCAAATGTCTATATACAACTCTTGCCTTCTAGCAGCTCTGTGCACATGCACACTGGGGACAGGCTTCCATGGGTCCTCTGCTTCACTGCTGCCAGACTCCAAAGGCAGCACCCCACTCCCAGGTGGTCCTGACACCACCCCTGCATTGGACTCAGGATCCTCATCCGAGTCCTCTCCGGACTCCCTCACTGGTCCCCTTTCATCCTCACTGTCCGATTCCACTGCTGTCTGTACCAGCTTCCGGTAAACCACAACATACATCACTTCAAATTTTGTTTGTCTGTCTATCTAGTAAGATCTGACAGATTTGGCATATTTCACATCCAATCTAACAGTAATATCTTTTGGATCCCAGAAAGCAGGAATTTGTTCTCATTCTCCGAGATCCACACAGCCCCCACCCTGCTCTCTTTTAAAAGAACCCATTTCTGCTTCTCATTATTTGGCCTCAGTGACATCACTTATGAATTGGCATCATTGTTATGAATGGTTGTATATCTCGCACCTCCCCATGACAACCTCTGTGTGGTTTTAAATTGTTCTCATTCATTTTATCAGATATCAGCTCAGTTTCCATTATAAAAGTTAAAATGAGTTCCTTCTTTTCCCATTTCACCTTCTTTTTATTCTAGCAGTTCTGTTCTATTCTCCTGTTTGTTCTAGATATTCTTTAGATTTTGGAAATATGAGCAGGAAATACTATTACACTTATTTATGTCCCACCTTTTCTTGTGTCCAATAAAATCCTCTCTCTAGCAGCCTGCAACCTTGGGGACTTTCCATGCTTCTCTTAATTCACAAAGGAAGTTACCATGAGGAGATTCAGTGGGGGTTTTTCAGTTGTCGCATCCTGTCCTTGGTCAGGATTTTTTTCCAACACTGAGAAAGTTTTTAAGAGTTTTCCTTCCCTCAAAATAACACCCTTCATCATGCCATATTAAAGATATGCAATAAATATAAACCCAGGTTGTGGCCACAAATACCTTGACGTCTCTCCGCTCAAGAAGCATATTATGGAAGAGAACCGGTAAATAGTTGACATATCACACTTATTGGAAAACCCTGAAGGGGAATTTAAAATCAGATCAAGAGCGCAATGAATAGCAGATGGATATAATTGTCAATTATTTCCCCATTTACAGTCATCTGAAAGATTTAAAATAGATAAAAAGACAAAGCAAAGAGAGCCAGAATTTGAAATATAATTGTATTTTGAGGATGAAAATGAATTGTAATTATAAAGAACAGATTAAAGAATGGAAGAACAGGTTAAAGAATGCATGATAAAGTAGGCTAAGAATTTTGGTTATACAGATAACCAGTAGGAAAATACATGGTCCAAAGGATTAAATTCACATTATGTTATGATCTCCAAGAGAATTTGTATTAAATGATGTCTCATTAGTACATGAGGCCAGAAAAATTATCTAGAATGTATAAAGACCCTTCAAATGAACATTGGAAATGTGAACAACATGAGGGGACATTTTATTATGTTTATTACGTTTGGTGATCATGAAAAAACCCTAAGAATATTTGGCTTCAAAGGCATAGTTTGATACAAATGGTTTTTATAAATCAATAGACTATTGGAGCCAGGGCCTTCCCTTATTGAGTTATTGGATGAACGGTTAGGAAAAAAGCCATGGAAGATTATTTCAGTTTATCAATGTTTCTCAACCTTGCATTTTGAAGATGTATGGACTTCAACTCCCAGAATTCCCCAGATAACTGGGGAAAGTCATTACTTATGATTATCTAGTGGGTTTCTATGCCTCCCATCTGACTAATACAACATCTCTGAGTAGCTTACAATATAATAAAAGTTAAAAAGTGCAAAATCAATTAGTATACAATAAAAACATAAAAATTAAAATTAAAAACCTGGCAATGAGAATCCTCCCTAATCTATCCCATCAAACCCCCCCCCCCCCCCAATTCGGTGAGCCCTGTTGGTAATATTATTTATATTTATTGGTGACTGAAATTATGGAATTTTTGCATAAAAATAAAAATGGAACATGATTTATGATTTTGATGGTTAGATAGGATAGATTATGGAAAAAAGAGTGTTGTGTAATTTTAGAAACTAAAAACATATTACTTTTATAACATATTTTTTTTATTTTCTGTTTTTCCTCAACTTTTTCCTTTTGTTGCATTTTTTGCCCTCTTTGCTTCATTCTTTTTCTTTCTTTTTCCTTACTCTATATTATTGTATTAGTTTTTATCTTCTTCTTTAATACTTTTAATAAAAATTATATACAAAAAAGGAAACAAATTGCATTCCCCTGGTGCAGTAGACCACTGCAGAAACAGCATGATGGGAGAATGAGGTATTTTAGGAGACTGAATATAAATCAAGTAGTCATTCTATTTAAGTATAATGTAAGCAAAACAACTAGTTTGGAATAATGGTTAAGGCACCAAACTAGAAACCAGGATACTGTGAGTGTGGTCCCACCTTAGGCGCCAAGCCTTCCTCTTCCTCTGACTTGTTAACCACATCCTGGAACTGATGATGCACTCAATAGACTAGATTTAACAGTGTAACATATTTATACTTTGAAAGAAGGTAAGATGAGGACTTTGGAACAGCATAAATCACAATAATTTTGCCTGTATAATGCACAATACTCATTTTATTGAGAATTTTCAAGCAATATTTGAAGAGTTTAAAAGAGATTTAAAATCATCATTTGTATGCAAAGAAACTTGTTTTTCCCAACTTGTGGGGTACACACATCGAATCGAATTGTGAAAGCTTGGTTATACAGTATAAGAAGTAGTATCATTTCCCTCACAGGAGGAGGAAGAGAAATGCAGAAGAGAAATGCAGGATCATCCATCTAAGAGCTAGCAGCCACGAGTCCATTGTGACAGATCTCTTCCTTTGCAGTGGTTCCTCCAGGCAACCCTAAGAGTAAGAATAAGAACACTGCATGTCTTTCTAAGCCACGTGCATATTGTTTGTTTGATTATGTAAATCCACTTGAAGAATAACAGAATATGAAAATAACAGAACTGGAAGGGACCTTGGAGGTCTTCTAGTCCAACCCCCATCCCCAATCCTCAAGCAGGAGACAGGAATTTCCAGGTGAGCTAGAGGCAACTATTTTTCATTCATCTTTCCTGTTCATTGATTGATAAAGTTTCTTTCCTAGTTTGTCAATGAATTTCTTTTCGCCAGGCTAAAATCCAACACTTTTTTTTTGTTTTAGCTGAAATAGTTCTAACTTTCTATTTGTCACAATAAAGCCTATATGCCAGTAATGCCCAAGAGATACTTGGGTTTCCACATATCCTAGGTAGGGTCTATACTACCTAGAATTAAAGGGAGTTCAAGTCCAAAATCTTTGGTGAGCACCAGATGGCTCTCAAAATCTTACCCCATATCATAGAATCCCTCAGAAGAGAACACAGCAAAGTAACTTTTAAATTATTCTAACATTTGACCGCATAAAATACCATTATTGTTTGGTTCTAGATTCCCATTTTACTAGTTTTCTATCTAACCATTTGCTGCTGCAGCCCTTTTCCTATTCAACCTATGATTGAAGGCTTCACAAATAATCTTTCCCTGTTTCTCTCACTGCATACTTTATCTACCAGTTCTCTGATCCCGTGGAGCTCCTCCATGGGATTAGAGTCCTGGTGTTTAAAAGGTCACCTGCCAATTTCATCTGCTACCTGCCCCAACTCGGTACCAAATCCCAAAGCTGAACCTGTGATAAAAGATTTTAAAACAAATGAAAAGAACAAAAGTAGATAATGGATGGGAAATTACAGGGAAGAAATTATCCAGCTATAATAGGCACCAACAACCCACTCTAGCAAGAAAAATACAAATTTCCATATTCAGAAATTGTATTTTGCCATCAAGGCTAAAAGTTCTATAATAATTTAAAGAAAGATAATTAACTTTCAAGACAGTTCCATTGCTACCCAATGTTACAAGTGGAAGATATTAATGAAAGATTGACTTACCAGGCATCCATCTTTTGGGGATCACGGACAATTCTCTTAGCACACTCAATATCATCTGTGATGTCATCATTTGTGAAAGCTGCCAGGAAAGACAAATTGGAATATGTCCCAACCCAGATGTTTCAAAAAGATTTCCAAAGACTTGCATAATATTACTATTTAAAACAGATTCTTACCCAAGTGGCATTTCAGTTGTAGGACCTTAATATGTATTATGTCATGCATTTGCTTCTTTAACAGTGTACCCTACTTTTTATACAGCTGGTGTAGAGCATGAAATGCCATTTTTCATCCTCTACCTGTGTAGAGTAACAAGTCTGGAAAGTGTAGAACACTGGGAATCTGTTTTCCTTCTTGGAGCTGAATATGCAGACTTCCCAACAGTCTTTCTGCACTCTTGGAAAGGAGTGAGAGAAGAATTGTCTCACCAGAGTCCAAAAACCAGATTTCTCTGACAAAAGGCAGAGAGCACTGGACAAGGTTCCTTGCTGATTGGAGTTCTAGTGCTGAAATTTCTGCCTTTAACCTGTGCCTTTGGGCAGGACAATGGCTGTTGTGGTGTGTGGTGTGGAGGCAGAAAGTGAGATATGGCTGTGTGAAGGAAGTTAAAGGATTTGGGACAATTTGGGAAATGGAGTACAAAGTGGAGGAGCAGATTGAGGAAGGCTAAGAGGCCAATAGAAAATATGGTGACTAGACACTATCACAGAAAACACAAGCAGGAACTTGAAATTACTTTGAGTGACAGGGTGATTCAGTGCCAAACTTCGTGAAGCACTGGACAAAATTGAACAAGTACATAGAGCAATAAAGGAGAAGAAGGATTAAAACCCCCCTTCAAAAGTTTCACCTGACTTCTTTGGGACATTTTTCTTTCTTTTCTAGAATAATAGGTGTCAGTCCTTGGTAATAGATCAGATCAGGAAACAAACACTATAAGGATTGCAGGAATACTACATCATAACATCAACAGCATCAATAACAGAATTTTGAAAGCTTGTCAAAACTTCTCCCTCCCACCTCTTATACCACCTCTTATCAAGAGCTTTCCCCCCCACTTTTGGCTGTTTCTTTCTTTCCTGGGACTGAGCTGTCATTCTTTTCTCATCGACTTTATCTTAACAGTTCTCCTAACAACTCTTGCATTCCTTCATCAAGATAATTTCTTCTCTACACTAGGTGTCTTACCACTGCAAGGCTTATTACAGCCATTAGCTGTAGGGCCCTGGTTATTGTTGCACCAATAGCGGCTGTTTATCTGGAAAATCCCATAGTCGCGACTGCCATCTGAGTTTGGTGGCCCCACAGCTCGGCTGTTGTATCTGCTCTCATGATAAGCCATACAGATCCCTGGAAGAAAGCAAGCAGGGAAAGGGGTATAAAAGACTTGAGTTATAATGAAAAGCTATCCTGGTTTCTTACACAGAATATTTAACCATCTTCAATCATTCTTCCCCCGACCAAGGAAGGACCCAAGGACCCATCCCTCTTGAAAACCTGGACCAGGGTAAAATAGAGAGATAGAAAGAGTAAACTCACAGTTGGCCACGCTGTAGCCTTGATATCCATCCATGCCTTTTCCTCTCAGAATTGAAAGCAGTTCACATTTGGTGTATACTTTGGCTTCATTGGCTGCAATGAGTAGGAAGAGGAGAGTGAGCGGTAGGGCCTTCATTGCTGCAGCTTCTCAGAGGAAGATGTCTGACTTCTCCAGTGCGGCTACTGGATTTTATAGTCACAGCTTGTGGAAGTGGAAACTCGATAACAAAGTATGTAGCAATAGTAATTCCCCAACTTGAAGCAATATTGGAGTAACCAGAAAAGAGTGTTGAGGACAAAGGAGCAGAAAAAATCTTTTTAACTGTCATTTTAAATTTCGTAAGAAGCCAAACCAATTAAAGAAAAATGAGTGAGAAAAGCATTTTTAGTTCCCTGAGAGATCCTGGGTCAAAGGGAATGAAGTGTGAAAAATGAACATGTGATAATTATAATTGCGTGACTGAAACCCCATCACTTTTTATGTGTTTTGCATGCGACATATGTAAAAAGGGAAGACAGCTTTTATTATGTTGTGACTGTTGCCTTTTTGATTCCTCTCTCTGTCTCTAGGTCAGAGGTTGCCAACAAGTGGGCTAGGGACCACTGGTGGTCCGTGAGAAAATTTTGGTGGTCCACAGAGAAATGTCACCCACAAAGCACCCATCAAAGCAATTAATCCAGGCTGTGTGGGAATACAAGGTTGCACTGCCCACATGGCCTGTGGGAACACAAGGCTTGCATCACGTGCATTGCGAACAACACGAGGTAGTGAGGGGAGGGGGGCACTTGCCCCACTCACCCTACACACTTCACCTAGCCACTGGGCTGCTTCTTTCTGCTTCTTTCTTCTTCTGCTTTTGGCTGCACGCAAGGAAAGCAGCAGAAGTCTTTTTTTCTCTCCCCCAAACTCCGCCAGAAATGAGTCTTTGGGACCCTGCAAGGCACCCTGCTCCAAGAGGCTGCGCCAGCAAAGACTCATTTCTGGCGGAGTTTGGGGGAGAGAAAGAAAGACTTCTGCTGCTTCTGCTGCTTCCCTTGCATGAAGCCAAAAGTCTCTCTCTCTTTCTGACCCCTTGAGAATGGAGCTGGAGACGGTATACTGTGATCCCAAATAAAGAATGATCGATGGGTAGGAAAATGGGTTGGGGGATTTTCTCTGCAGACAGAGACCCTGGGAAAATCCCCAAAAAAGTCTGCAGAAAAATCCCCCACCCTGTTTTCCTACTGATCGATCATTCTTTATTTGGGATCGCAGGTTACCCCCCCTCTCTCTCTCCCTCTCTCCCCCCCCCCCG